CACACACACACACACACACACACACACACACACACCCAGGCACTTGAAAATTGTCCTCATGGTCCCTGAGAAGACACTGCCATCTTGTGGACCTATCACAGTGACCAAAGAAATACCAAAATTCAAACACTTGTTATATAAGCAGTTAAATGTAAAAATCTAATACTTTAGTGAAATTAGAAATTTTAAGAAACATTTCCATACCAAGCCATATGTGTGGGATGTGTATGTGTGCATGTATTTTATATCCCATGGCAACTCTTTTCTGAGTAAGAACACTTACTTCAGACTCATTTTGCTGCACTGAAAAGTCATTCACATCTTTACTGTAGAAATCTAGGTGTGATTCAAGGAGCATTTCATAGTGCACAGTTCTTCCACATGTCAATTTAAATGCCCCAACCAACTCTCTCAGCTCCAATTTTTAAACCAATTTTTTATAATTAAAAAAATTCTTTCAAAACATAACCACTTCATGTCTTTTTTTAAAAACATAGTTCCAGCTCACAGCCTGAAATATACTTATATTTTTATTAAGGCCAGAAAGTAGATGAGCTTGTAATATTTTGCTCTATTTGACACCAGTGTGATACCTGTGTTGAAACAGGGCTTGTTCTAAATAAAACCTAGTATGGCTGTTTATTTTCCTAATGTCTCTATTCCCTTTTCTTAAATTAAGCCCTGACATCCAGGGACTGATTCTGAAAGATAAGGATTTCACTCTTTCTCTCTGTGTTTCTATCCTAACCTAAGCAGCAAGCCACACTGATTAGAGAGATAGATGTGCCAGAAGTTTAACTGGGTGTACAGAAACACTACCTCAGGAAACTCTTTTTCCCATGTTCCACATCCTGCTTTGCATTTGTGCAGAAGCAGGAGACTGGAGTGCCATGTAAACTCAAGTTTAAACTCAAGTGCCATGTAAACAGCACCCACCAAAAATTGATGACTTTTCCCATTTCCACCAACAGCTGCATAGGAAATAGAATCAGGGGAAGATGCTTCCAATTTATTCTCCAAGAACAGTATGTATTGGCAAAAATTTCTCAATAAATATGAAAACCAAAGGAGGAATGACAGTAGCATCAGCTGCAACCACCACAACCTTAAAAACTATTTTTAAAAAAACATAAAGCATTAAAAGTAGGATTTGGGCCCCCAGCCCAGTCTTGTAAACAAGTACACCTCATTGTTTAGGATGGTAACAATAAATACATATATTCTAATGTATGGTGGACCCCAGAGCTACATCAGTACTTGGAAAATGACAGAATTCACTGAGCATCAGAATTGTCCTACAGAAGCTCCTTGTGCAATGGAGTCTACAGGACACGACGCTGTTCAGGTGCCTGAAGGGCAGACTCTAGCAGTCAGCCAAGAAGGAAAACCACAGCACTGCCCTTCTCCCCATTTGTATTAAGCAGTCTTCATTTACCGTAGTAGAAAGTGCTATAGATACATCTTGAGAACATCAAAGAAATGAAAAACAAGTTCCCATTTGAAGACAACCTAACATAAAAGAAATGCTACTGTAAATGGTACTGTTTGTGCCCATTTGAAACATATAAATTGTACTGCTGTAAAAAAAATAGCAACAGTGAAGGAAACATTTTTACCTGTGGAAAATCACACACACACAAACTCACAATTTACCCATTGTGTTTTTATTAACATGGCTGTAATTACATTTACACATTTGTAAATTATGAAGGATAATTGCTGGTTTTATATTTCACTATAATTACCTTTACTATTACTCATTTATTTTGTATGGATACAAGCTACTGCTGCCTAATGCCTTTTCATTTCAGCCTAGAGGACTCCTATTAGGAGTCTTGTAAGGAAGATATACAAGTGATAAACACCATCTACTTGGTCTGTTTCCATTTTTCTTGTTTATTAATTTGTTTCCATTTTTCATTTGTTTGAAAATGGTTTTGCCAAGCATAGATTTGTTGGCTGACAATTTGTTGTTCTTTTAGCACATTAGGTACTCCTATCCTAGTTTCCTTAGTTTTCCATGGTCCCTGATGAGAAACTGTTGGTCCAATTAAAGTTTCCCTGCATATCATTAGTTACTTCTATCTTACAACTTTTTGTTTTTTTGTTTTTTGTTTGGGGTTTTGTTTTGTTTTGTTTGTTTGTTTGTTTGTTTTTTGTTGTTATTTTGAGACACGGTCTCACTATGTAGTTCAGACCAGCCTTGAACTCACTATGTATCCCAGGCTGGCCTCAAACTTGAGGTGATCCTCCTGCCTCAGCCTCCTGAGTGCTGGGGTTAGAGGCATGCACCACCATGCTTAGCTCTTGCCCCTTTTAAAATACTCAATTTGTTCTTATCTTTAGCATTTGCACTATAGTGTGTTGCTGTCAATTTTTTTCCCTTCCTAGATAATGCATAGTGAATTATGAATTGTGTAGATGTATGTCTCCCATCAAATATGGGAAGATCCTGGTCATTACTTACTCATTTTTTCCTCCTTCTCCTCAACCTCTCTTTTCTCCTTCTAGGATTTCTATTCTCCTTAGATCTGCACATTTGATAATATACCACAGGTCTCCCAGGCTGTTCATTTTTCTTTCTTTTTTTACTCTTCCTCAAATTGGATGATTTCAATTGATCTATATTCTAGTTTGAGAAGTCTTTTTTTTTTGTATGCTGTCTCACCCACTTTCTCATTATGCAGTCAAAGTACCCAACACCCACAACTTAAAGTAGGATAAGTTTATTTTGGCTCATGAGTTCCGTCCACAGTCAGCAGGCTACAAGGCGGAGGGAAAGGTGCTCACACTGGTCAGGAAACAGAGAGAAGAGGGGAAAGAATACAGCTTTCCAGATCACCCCGCAACCAGGGGGATGCCCCTCCAACCAGGGTCCACCCTCTAACAACAAAGTCAGCTACCAAACTCATCAACGGATGAGTCTACTAATGAGTGTAATGCATCCATAATCCAATCACATTCAGTCTCCTTCTACTCTCATAAAAATTTGGGGGGATATTTTTGATTTGAACAAAAATATTTCAAACTTTGTCCCCAAAGGACTCACATCAATCTCATCACTTGAAATGTACCTAATCCATCTTGCCAAAGTTTTCATAGCCTCAGCAGTGCTTAAAAATCCAAGTTCAATGTCTTGTCTCAGATTCAAGGCAAACTATTAGCTGTGAGCCTCGATAAAAATGAAAAAGAAAGTTAAACATTTCCACATACAACAGCACAGGATACACATTCCCATTCCAAAAGAGAGAAATGGGAGGACAGAATGGAGTCAATGAAAATCACACTGAGACCCATAAGGGAAAGCATTAAATCCTGTGGTTCCATGTGCAGAACTGGGGCAAGTTGTTGTGAGATGTGATCACCAAAAGGCTGTCATGGCTCTGCTCCTATGGCTTAGCTGCTTACAGCCCTCATGGCCTCCTGTTTAAGGTGACTCCACTCACTACCTGCAGTTTTACTCAGTAGATGATCCACATTCCTGATATCTCCAACTTCCTGGAGTCTACACTGCATTTTTGCTTTATTCTTACAGCTTCACATACTGCTTTCTGTAAGGCTCTGGCAATGGCAATGACCCTGACACACACTTTTCCCTGGCCTCTCAGGACTTCTCAAATCTAGATGGAATCATTCATGACTCCATGATTCTTGCATTCAGCATGCTTAAAAAACTAGCATCATGTGGATGATATCTAGGTCTTCCATTAGATCAAGCAGTAGCCACACCTGCTTGGACCATGGCTGTAGTGGTCTCTGAATGCCTGGATGACTGAATATAATGAAATGAATTTTGAGAAACAGTTTTTCTGCAAAGCACTTCTTGTGGATGACACCCTGGGGCTCTCTTCTCAAAGTAAATTCTTTCAAAGAAGTTTGCCATTACACTTTTATACCCTGGGCCACTGAAGTGTAGGGTCTTGCCAATTCCTGGAATGCCCTCAAGAAATCTTTCCTATTGCTTTAACTCAAAGTTTCTGGCTTCTACCAACTTTGTAAGCTCTTCCTTTCTGGTCAATCTTCACATTGCTCAACTCTGTTTTTCTTTTTTACTGATTTTCACTATAAATCTGGCTGAATGCTACCAAAAACACCATGTCACCACCTAAATGCTGGGCTGCCTTTACATTTCTTCTACCAGATTAACCAACCTACTGCCTCATTTCAGACTCCCACAAAGTCTCAAGACATGGACAAACTTTATGCCAGAGCATAAAATATATGGCCTCTAGCCCAACTGCCAATAGAGGCTTTGTTCCCCACTGAAACCTCTACTGTCTGCATGTCTATCAACATTCTGGTCTTAAGTATTCTAGTCAGAACACCCCATCAAGCTTTTCCTATAGCACTCCAGTACTTCTGTATGTGGCACTGCCAACCTTCCCAGACTCCTCCTACAAGCCAGTTCCAGAGGCTTCTGAACTACATGATCAGAAAGTCACAGCAATGACACTACTCCTGATACCAAAATCTGTCTTAGTCACTTTCTCAGCACAAAGACACAAAACCTGGTATCCACAGCTTAAAAGAGGAGAGGTTTATCTTGGCTCAGTTTCAGTGGACTCAGTCCATGCATGATCAGCCGTGTCCAGCACAGTGGAAGAGCCTTGGCAGGGGAAAGCTGTTCACACCGTGGTGGCCAGGAAACAGAGAAAGAAGGGAGGAATCAGGTAGAGAGATACTCCCTTCCTGGTCACACCCCCAGTGACCCATATCTTCTAACCAGATCCCACTTCTTA